GAAAAAAAAGCAGTAAAGCTTAGTGCATTTGTGGCTTACCATAAGAATAATTGGTAAAGTTATTAAAAGAATGCTGAAAATATTTTTACATTCAGTTATGTAAACATTTGTCTGACAGTGCAAATACCCGACCCCAAAGATACCATCAGAATTCTGTACCAGCTGTCCGTGCTGTACAACGGAAATAAAGGCATTTAACCTTTCAACCCAGATCACCTAACTGTAGAACCCTAGTCCTAACGGAAATTATACAAAAATGGCCTGAAACGAACACATCCTCAGAACTCTGCTGATTGGGGTTGGTACCTATGAGCGCCAAGTTGGCAGTCAGTTCTTTTAGATATGCCATGTCAAGAGTTGTAACACAGTATTTCTGTATGATAACAGCTAGTTAATCATCTTCTCCCCGCCCCCCCCCCCCCTCCCCCCCACATCCTCAGTCTACTTCCTGACGTCAGCATCAGTCTCACCTCATGGTCAAATCTTATTTTGACATTAAGTGAACTCATTTATGTTGCATGCACGAACGCTCACTTTAGAGTTCAAGAGGTTAACCCTTTCCACCCCCAGGTAGTTCATGATTCAGCCTTGTCTGTCCTATAGGTTTTTTTTAGCCTCAGAGCAACAAATTTAGTCATATGAAATTGAACAATACAGCTTAAGGACAGTTGCTGTTGTAACAGCTGAGAAAGATGTGGTTAATGTAACAGAAGAATGGGACCCAAAAAAAGTACAGAAATGTGTACCATATCAAGAGTAAAAATGAAAACATGGTGAAATATACTTCCCGTCCATTTTAGGATGAAATTTTTCGTTATTTGAAGCCGTACTCTGGCTCTTGCCAGGGGCCGTAATATAGCCCGGCCATAAATATGGTCTAATGGGTGAACGCGGTTTCTGGGACCTCTCCACGGTGATCCTCATCCACATGGTGGCACATTGTGTCATCGGGTGTTTATCGCTTGTGTGATGTCCTGGTGGGGTAGAAAGTCAGTCAGTCAAACATGGTGACTTCCCTTGTTCAGAAAGAGTTAAAGAAGCTTAGTCTTATAAATCACACCGCATGAAACTGTTGAACGTGAAAAGACTAAATTCGGTTCAGTCTTTCATTATGAAGTTATTTTTTGTTTTGTTGTTGTTAATTGGGTAAAGCCATGTTGGATGTTTTGACGTCCCTTTTTTAATGTTACATTTCACTGTTGTTTTCTTCTGCATGCTACCTTTTGTTTTGAGTTGCTTTTTCTAAGAGGAAATTGTAAATGTCAAACTGAAGATTTTTGATGTCATCATCATCATCATGTGCCCTGCCAACTAGCGTAGTCGCTCATGCGTCTCCACAGATCACGCTCCCTGGTTGCATGGAACAGCTCTCTTGATGATATCCCTCCATGCCATCATTTTAGCGCATCCAGCATCATCTCTCTTGGTTTGCCTCAAACCCTTTTCCACTCATCTTTCCAGTTGTCACGATGTTCTCCAGTGTCTCTCTTCTCATTATCTGGCCAAAGAACAGTGTTTGTCTCTTCCTTATTGTTGTATATAGAAATCTACTTTCATTAGCTTCTTTCAAGCAATGGTTATTTACTCTGGCTGTCCAAGGTATTCGTAACATTCGTCTCAGAAACCACATCTATGTTGCTTCCAGATTCTTCTTAAATTGTTTACTGACATTCCAAGATTGGCTGCCATACAGCAGAACAGGTTTTATATAACATTTTAGCACCCTCTTTCTGACATTAAATTAGAGCAAATTATTGCATAAGATATTTTTCATTTTCTGAAATGCAACTTTTGTTTGACCTATTCTGCTTTTAGTCTCTGTCAGACTTTTTCCATCTGATGATATGATTGTTCCCAGATTTTTTTAATTTATTGACTTGGTTAAGTCTTTTTCCTTCAATTGTGATATCACATTGTGGAGTTATCTTCTTCTTTGATATAACCATTACTTCCGTTTTCTTAATATTCAATGAAAGTCCTTTCTTGGCACTCTCCATCCCCACAATATCCAGCAGTTGTTGTAAATCAGTTGCATTTTCAGCTATCAAAACTGTATCGTCTGTATAACGCAAATTATTTATATTTTATCCTCCAACACTTGTTCCTGCTTCCTCTTTAATTTCCTTCAAAATTATATTTGATGTAGTGGCCAAAAATTATGAAGTGACGTCAGTTGTGATTACATGACATATGGTGAAATTGTAAAAACATCAAGAGAGCTGTCTTTTCAGCAGTGGCATACAGATGTAAATATGGACCTTTTTCCAGCCCTATACTGGAGGGAAAAGTCAAAGGCAAGAGAGCAAGGAGTAGACAGTGGTACAAGTGGGAGAACAACATCAAGAGAGCTGTCTTTTCAGCAGTGGCATACAGATGTAAATATGGACCTTTTTCCAGCCCTATACTGGAGGGAAAAGTCAAAGGCAAGAGAGCAAGGAGTAGACAGTGGTACAAGTGGGAGAACAACATCAAGAGATGACGGAACAGCATCTGAGACACTTTACATTTAGGACAAAAGACAGAGGTGTTGAAGATACATTGCAGCCTGCCCTCCTGTGGGTATGGCACACCTGATTGTTGACGGAAGATGAAAATCACATTTTAAAATGTCAATGCTTCAGAACATTTCTTAGAATACCATTGATTGAGAAGATGTAAGAGATCAACTTCAAAGATGTATGGTATTAACAGCATCATTTCTGGAATACTTTGACCATATTAACCATACAGTCACCTAGAGAGACAGTCATGGAAGGAATGGTTTGAGAAAGAAAAGGCACATGTTCACACTTTCTTTATATCATTCAGATAGTGGCCAGAGTCTAATTCATAACCTTATTTGATAGCTTTTATCCAAATGTTCCCTGTTGCCTTTTTTGTGAAAATTGCTTCCAAAAGCTCAGTGTTTCTGCTTAGTATTATCTGTTGTGCAAATCCTGTGTGTGTCATGATGAGTTAGTTAGTTAGTCTGTTCTTTTGGTCGACTCTGTGGCTAAGTCGATGCGAACGCTTCGTAATGCCGGGATCCCAGGTTCGATCCCAGCTGCGGGCAATGCGCCTTGCGTTGGTTTCGACAGTGGTATTAAGAAAGCCGACCGTCCAGAAAGCAATGGCAAACTACTGGATGTAACTTGCCTAGAGAAACCACACAACAGCCAGGGGCTGTTGGGGTTGGTTCTGCAACGTCTTGTAAAGGATACGCAACTAACTGTTCTTTTGAGCTTAAAACAGTTCATAGGGCAGAGTTCGTAGCTCTCTATGTCTGGCGGTTCAGTTCCCACCTGATTTAGGTCTTAGATATTCATTAGACCCATACTTGAGCCTTACCTAAAAATGGTTCTACGCAAAGTCTTTCTTCGTCTTCCCCGTATTCTTCTCCCTTCCGGAGTCCGTATGAGGGGGTGATAGGGAAGTCTTGTCTTATCCATTCTGAGTGCATGGCCGATGTAATTCCAGTGTCACTTTCTTATAAAATTTGATACATTTTCTTGCTTGGTCTCTTGTCTTATTTGCGTATTGGATCTGAAATCTGCCCAGTGGAGATTTAGTATTTTGCTAAGACATCTCAAAATTGTCTAATATTTTATCAAGAGCTACTGTTACTTTCCAACTCTGGCATCCATGATGTGTGATTATAAGATATTAGTGGTCAGCATGGATGTCATAGATAGAAGTGGTATGTGTTTAAACACTGTGCCACCCATGGCCTAGTGGTTAGTGCACATACATGCCAAGACACTGGTTTAGGTTCGGTCCTCAGCAGTGGGTTGAATTATTTTCTGACCTGTGGGCCTCTAGGATTTGCTGTTCATACAATGGGTACCAAATAATTTTGTGAGAATTGTCTGCAAAGAAAAGGCAGTGGGAACAGGAACTGACCATTTTCCCTCGTGTTGTCGCATAGGACAGTGTTCTTCAAACTGTTTACATTGGTGAACAGGATATATGTTTTTGCAGACCACCTGACAGCTAACCAAAAGCAGAAACAAGAACACGTGTCTTCTTCTTCTTGAAGTCCATGCCATGTGGCGTTGGTAGTCATGTCTGTCCACAACCTTCTGTCCTGTGAACTTTATTGTAATTATTTCACTGTACAAATTGAATAAATCGGGTGATAGTACAAATCCCTGAACAAATGTAGAAAAAGTTTATTTGTTAAATCTGATGTCAAAGAATTACCATTTTCAGCTAATGCAACATCTGCTTCTACATATCTGGAGCATTGTTTCTGATAGTCTGAGCATTGCAGTAACATATATTCACTTGGTTTTTTTTTTTCCCTCCTTGTTTGGGGTTTTTATTACTAACATGGCTGAGAACATGTTTTCACACAAATCGAAAGTCTGGAAAAAACCTGATAAGGTAGACAACGTTTATCAGGCCACCAGGACACTTTTGTTTGAAGAACACTGCTATAGAAAATATGAAGGCCTGTTACTTCAAACAGTGCCATTGTCTACTGTGAGACTGCTTTTACCAATGACTTTGTTTGTTGAATGTTTCCACAAGATACCACACAGCCAGTATTTATCAGATCATTGGATGTTTCCCTTTGGGGTACTACAAGGGCCCCATCTTAGGAGGGGGGGGGGGAAGTAACTGCCCCCTAACAGGTTGACAAATTAGCATTATGCTGAAATTGGATTGTTTGGTCAGAAGGGCATAGATATCGCAGCTTAGCCATTAACCACAATGCAGCATGCCAAGCACCCTTTCATGAGCGAACAGAGGAGTCTTCAAAGAAGGATCTATCAGTTCTAAGCATGCATTTCACCATAAATTTGTGACAGCTTTTAAGAATAAGTTTGTCTCTTCCTGTTACCCAGAGTTCAATCTGGGCTGTAGAGTAGCCACAGTAAATGTGCTAATGCACGTCAGTTCACTGCTGGTTTTGTGGTATCGTGTTGACAGAGGTGGGTATGGTAACTGTCCTTACTGTGCTGAATGTTAGCTTTCTTTGCACTTGCAGGCACAACTATGGAGACTACAGCCAGGCTACCATGTACACCAACGTGGGCGGCACTTACTACCAGACAACGCAAGGGGCTCAGGTATTGTGCTGCGTTGATTTCCTGTTTTATTTAAATCTGGTTTTTTTTCTTTTTTCTTCTTTTTCATTTCTTCTTCTTCTTGTGTGTGTGTGTTTTTTTTTTTGTGTGTGAGAGTGAATCATTCTTGATTAAGCAATTTAAAAGTCAGTGTGCCTTCTTTTTCGTCTTCTTCACGATCACTGGTTCTAAACTCCTGTGCAAAGTCTGGGTGTTCATCCACTTCCTGACTTTAATCTTGTTCCAGAAACTGAATGTTGTGTGGACATCCATTTCATAGATCTGGCTTAGTTGTATGCAAAGCTTTGGGTTATTATCTTTCAGGATGATGTACCCTGAAGGATGACATCAATTAGTCCACTGATAAGACGTGCTTGATGGGGAAGCAGCGTGTTTTTTCTGATTTTCCCTTCCATAAGGCCCCGGAACTCGCGGGAGGGGGGGTCTACAATGTCTGAGTTTTTAATATATTTTTATGTAGATTTGTTTTCTATTTACAGACTTTATCCAGGGTAATGGACTGTGACTCTCCATTGGTAGGTTTTAGTTCCTAACTACTTCTTCTACATTTGACATCAGCAATGCTAAACATTCAGTACCATCTGGGTTGCCACTGGTCTCCTACAAGCTGTCCTGCAATTCAGCCTCATTGGGCCAGAACCACAACCTTTGCCGGAAGTAGTTTTGGCACTCCTGCAGAACATGCTCAAGAGTCTGTCAGCTTTGCGTCCACAGGTGGTAGATTCTTATACGTCTATTTTGTGTAGGTGTGCTCTAAGATTGCAGTATCCCACTTGAAGCCTAAAAAGTGTTGTCTTTTCTTTGCTGTTGCCTTTATATATGCTGTCAACTCTCTGGTCTGTAGTCTCCAAGTTCCTAACAATTTTGTCAGGAATTTTGAAATCATCAAGTGAATCGAAGCAAACAAGACTGATCACATCTCTGTGTCTTCCTCCTTCCCCACAGGTAGCCCAAACCCTAATGCCTGTTGTATCATCAGTGCAGACACTTCAGGGACAGATCATCCAGCAACCAGGTGGAGGGGCATTTCTGATACAAAGTGGCACAGTTGATAGTGACGGAACCCCACTGACACACACAACTAGAGCTTCACCTGTGACGGTAAGTCTTTTTTTTTCTCTTTTGTGTGTGTGTTTGTTTGGGACTTTTAATATGAATTTTTATGACATATAATTATTTAGCCATATCAATTTTGAACATTATGTAAAGTTAACTGTCTTGTTGGGGTTTGTTTATTCTTACCATTCATCATATTTTCCTCAAACAGCTGTTTAAAATTGACTTTTAAAAATTGAAAGTTGTTCGAAATGAAGGTTAAATAAATTTTTTTAAGGTTAATATTGAAATAAAGATTATAAGCAACTTGTTCGGTGAAATAAAAATTATTTTTCTGAGCTAAGTGCGCATATTTATCACACTAATTAGGGTAGTATGGGTAATGGGAACTAAAACACAAATTTACACTGTTCAGTAAAATGTATTATGCGCCCAGTAAGTTTGCTGTAACATTGTAACATAGAGATATTTAATTTAAAGGGGGCTACATGGTCTTGAGGCATGTTGTCCGCCTCGAATGCTGGAGGTCCCGGGTTCAAGCCCCGGTGAAGGCTGGGATTATTTCATGTGGACTTGTAGTAATTTTGTTTGGTCTGTGGGTAGTAACATCGGACGCCTGTGTGTACTGTTGCGCACGTATAATCACTTGGCAGTTGGCAATCGAAAAAGAATAGCATAAAAGCGCTGCCCATGCAAAATTTGGAGTTTAAAATCTACCTAAAGTATTTCGGGACGCTCGCCAGTGCTACCGAGTTCGTGCACTGAGCTGAGATTCTTCAGACTCAGTCTTGAGTCAGAAGTAAAACGGAGCACTTATGAGTTACTACCCTTGTGCCTTGATGTTGATCCATCGTCTGAACCTAAGTAAAGTCAAAGTAAAGGACCCTTTTCCACGCCGTCAGGCCTATAGGGCATACAGGACTAGACCTATATTTTTATAGACCAATCGGCATAAGATAGGTGATTTGGTCAGCATCAAACCAGCCGCTTTTACTTCCCGGAACTGTACCCGGGACCCAGTCAAGGCTGCGTCGACCTGGGAGCCAAGGTCATTTTTTTTTAAAGTCCGGCTTCCCCAGGGAGCAAAACCATGACCTTCTGATCCATGGGGAGCGTCTGGCTGCTCCGCAGCGAGCGTCTGCTTTTGAAAATTAAAACTGAAGTGCGTGTTGAAAAGTGAACGGGTAAAAATTTTCAGTGAAGGGACAGTTAGGAATTTGATCTGTTAAATTTATTTTATAGCCGTGATGGACGATTAATTTGTTAAAGGTGATATGCCAGTTTTTTTTTGGCAAATATTTCCAGGCACTTATGGGGGGGGGGGGGTGGGGGGGGGGGAAGGTTGAATTATATATAACTTTAATGTCCTTACTTTGGAACCATCGGGATTAAAGGAATAAAGGCAGACCAAATTTAAAAATAAAAATTTTAAAAAAACTCGGAGAAGGTAATTAGAGAATGAAATGAATAAAGTGAGGACATATAATGAGCTGCACACAAAAGCAAAAGGTATAATCCAGTATCTGAGTGTTGTATGCTCATATGTTTTACAGATCTGGCTTATTTGCAATCAGATTGTTGGTTCCTATCCTCTCAGGCAGATGCTTGTCGATTCCATCTACATTGGCAGCGCTCCTGGTTGGGAACCCATTTTTGGGTTGACTGAGGTGTAGACAGGTATTGAGCAACATTTACCCTGGTCCTGGTGCGGCACCACGTGTGATTCTTCCCAAAAGATAGAATGACTTGGCATGAGTTCGTTGAGGGTCTGTGCTGCACAGGGGGGGGGGGGGGGGGGAGGGGTAAAGAGCAGAAGAAGAAACCACATCTCACATGCTAGAACTCTTACTTTCGAAACTACTATATAGAATTATATGGGAAGTCGTTTATACGGCAATCAGAAATTGACCATCCTCGACAGGTTTGTCATAGGGGTCGACTAATTGAGGGCTTCCTTCAAGGTCAGAGTGCATCTGCCTGAGCGGCAAGAAACAACTGCTGCATACAAATAAGCCAATGAAACGGATGTACACGCAAAACCCAGGCCCTAGCACAAAGCCAAAGTTCAATTGGACGAACGACCAGGATTTTCCTTCGGAGCTTACAGCCGGTGAACAAAGAAGAAGACCATTTGTAACCTGAGTCATGACTGCCAGTTCGACCTAGTCTCACATGGTACAGTCTTAGGAAGTAATGGCAACTGACGCAATGTAGACCACATCACCTACCGGGTGCTGTTTGGTCCATAAAATGTAGGGCTCTAGCTTACTTTACTATAAATTTAATTTAAGGAAAGTTGTAATCTTAATGCCCGCAGTGTTTCTTCTGCTTCGAACTACACGCAAGTTTGCCTATATTTAATATTAGTTTTAGCTTAGATGTCTCATAGCAGTTTCTTCTGTATATTATAGTTTGCATAGTTGATCTTCTTTTCTAGTAGCCTCAACCTATCTCACAAGTAGGCTCAGCAGGTATGTGACAGTAGTCTCAACAAATATGTGACAGTAGTCTCAACAAATATGTGACAGTAGTCTCAACAAATATGTGACAGTAGTCTCAACAAGTGTGTGACAGTAGGCTCAACAAGTGTGTGACAGTAGTCTCAACAAATATGTGACAGTAGTCTCAACAAATATGTGACAGTAGTCTCAACAAATATGTGACAGTAGTCTCAACAAATATGTGACAGTAGTCTCAACAAATATGTGACAGTAGTCTCAACAAATATGTGACAGTAGTCTCAACAAATATGTGACAGTAGTCTCAACAAATATGTGACAGTAGTCTCAACAAATATGTGACAGTAGTCTCAACAAATATGTGCAATAGTCTCAACAAATATGTGCAATAGTCTCAACAAATATGTGACAGTAGTCTCAACAAATATGTGACAATAGTCTCAACAAATATGTGACAGTAGTCTCAACAAATATGTGACAGTAGTCTCAACAAATATGTGACAATAGTCTCAACAAATATGTGACAGTAGTCTCAACAAATATGTGACAGTAGTCTCAACAAATATGTGACACTAGTCTCAACAAATGTATGACAGTAGTCTCAACAAATATTTGACACTAGTCTCAACAAATGTGTGACAGTAGTTGTAAAGTAGTACATTGGCCTTTACTTTTTTTAAACCATTGATTATATCATCTAAAAAACCATTGATTATATCATCTAAAAACATTCATGCCTGCTAAAAACAACCATTGATTATATTATCTAAAAACATTCATGCCTGCTAAAAACAACCATTGATTATATTATCTAAAAACATTCATGCCTGCTAAAAACAACCATTGATTATATTATCTAAAAACATTCATGCCTGCTAAAAACAACCATTGATTATATTATCTAAAAACATTCATGCCTGCTAAAAACAACCATTGATTATATCATCTAAAAACATTCATGCCTGCTAAAAACAACCATTGATTATATCATCTAAAAACATTCATGCCTGCTAAAAACAACCATTGATTATATTATCTAAAAACCATTGACTCCTGCTAAAAAACATTGATTATATCCTCTAAAAACCATTGATGCCTGCTAAAAACATTGATTATATCATCTAAAACCCATTGATGCCTGCTAAAAAAAAAACATTGATTATATTATCTAAAAACCATTTATACCTGCTAAAAACATTGATTATATCATCTAAAAACCATTGATGCCTTGCTTAAAAAAAAACATTGATTAAATTATCTAAAAACCATTGATGCCTGCTAAAAAAACCCATTGATTATATCATCTAAAAACCATTGATGCCTGCTAAAAACTATTGCTAATGCCAGCCCACAGCCACTAATTGTTTTTACCCGCCAGTTTTCGGTTTTCTCTTCCTTTCTCAAAGAATCACATCCCCCTGGCAGAGCTGAGCAATCTGCATTCAAAAGAGGTAAGGCACTTTCACACACGCAGTAAAGTGTGGCTGGGCAGCTAACTGTCCTCCTCTAGTGCAAGTTTACATTGCTGTTTTCTCTTGTTATGATTTTGTCAACCTGTGTAATACTGTTATTGAAACTCTGCTTTGATTTACAACCCCTGTCTGCTGACCCTGATTGAGCTGGTCATCCACACAGATCGTTAAAGATTGCAATTCAGGTGTAATCATATATTTTTTTTTTAAATTGTAACAGTTGGTATTGAAATTAATGCACAAATGATTCTTTGTTTTTTTAAATTATTTGGTTTGATGTACCTTTTGTTGATTAGGATTAACATGAAATGCCATTGGTGTGTGATCGTAGTGACAGTACGCTTGAAATGTGTGATCTTAGTGACAGTACTCTTAAAATCTGTGATCTTAGTGACAGTAGGCTTGAAATGTGTGATCTTAGTGACAGTACTCTTAAAATCTGTGATCTTTGTGGCAGTAGGTTTGAAGTGTGTGATCTTAATGACAGTACGCTCTAAGTGTGTGATCTTAGTGACAGTACGCTCTAAGTGTGTGATCTTAGTGACAGTATGTGTAAAGTGTGTGATCAGTACACTTGAAGTATTTGATCTTAGTGACAGTACACTTGAAGTATTTGCTCTTAGTGACAGTACACTTGAAGTATTTGATCTTAGTGACAGTACACTTGAAGTATTTGATCTTAGTGACAGTACACTTGAAGTATTTGATCTTAGTGACAGTACACTTGAAGTGTGTGATCTTAGTGACAGTACATGTGAAGTGTGTGATCTTAGTGACAGTACATGTGAAGTGTGTGATCTTAGTGACAGTACACTTGAAGTGTGTGATCTTAGAGACAGTACACTTGAAGTTTGTGATCTTAGTGACAGTACACTTGAAGTGTGTGATCTTAGAGACAGTACACTTGAAGTATTTGATCTTAGTGACAGTACACTTGAAGTGTGTGATCTTAGTGACAGTACGCTCTAAGTGTGTGATCTTAATGACAGTACGCTCTAAGTGTGTGATCTTAGTGACAGTACACTTGAAGTGTGTGATCTTAGTGACAGTACACTTGAAGTGTGTGATCTTAGAGACAGTACACTTGAAGTATTTGATCTTAGAGACAGTACACTTGAAGTATTTGATCTTAGTGACAGTACACTTGAAGTGTGTGATCTTAGTGACAGTACGTGTGAAGTGTGTAATCTTAGTGACAGTACAATTGAAGACACTTAAAGTATCTGATCTTAGTGACAGTACAATTGAAGTGTGTGATCTTAGTGACAGTATGCTTGAAGTGTGTGATCTTAGTGACAGTACACTTGAAGTGTGTGATCTTAGTGTCAGTACAATTGAAGTGTGTGATCTTAGTGACAGTACACTTGAAGTGTCTGATCTTAGTGACAGTACAACTGAAGTGTCTGATCTTAGTGACAGTACAATTGAAGTGTGTGATCTTAGTGACAGTATAATTGAAGTGTCTTATCTTAGTGACATTACAATTGAAGTGTGTGATCTTAGTGACAGTACGCTCTAAGTGTGTGATCTTAGTGACAGTACACTTGAAGTGTCTGATCTTAGTGACAGTACACTTGAAGGGTGTGATTTTAGTGACAGTGCGCTTGAAGTTTGTGATCTTAGTGATAGAACGCTTGAAGTGTGTGATCTTAGTGACAGTACACTTGAAGTGTCTATCTTAGTGACAGTACACTTGAAGCGTGTGATCTTAGTGACAGTACCCTCTGAGTGTGATCTTAGTGACAGTATGCTCTAAGTGTGTGATCTTAGTGACAGTACAAGTGAAGTGTGTGATCTTAGTGACAGTGCACTTGAAGTGTGTGATTTTAGTGACAGTACACTTGATGTGTCTGATCTTAGTGACAGTACAATTGAACTTTCTGATCTTAGCGACAGTACACTTGAAGTGTGTGATCTTAGTGACAGTACAATTGAAGCATCTGATCTTAGTGACAGTACAATTGAAGTGTGTGATCTTAGTGACAGTACACTTGAAGCGAGTGATCTTAGTGACAGTACGCTCTGAGTGTGTGATCTTAGTGACAGTATGCTCTAAGTGTGTGATCGTAGTGACAGTACAAGTGAAGTGTGTGATCTTAGTGACAGTACGCTGTGATCTTAGTGACAGTACATTTGAAGCGTCTGATCTTAGTGACAGTACAATTGAAGTGTGTGATCTTAGTGACAGTACACTTGAAGCGAGTGATCTTAGTGACAGTACGCTCTGAGTGTGTGATCTTAGTGACAGTATGCTCTAAGTGTGTGATCGTAGTGACAGTACAAGTGAAGTGTGTGATCTTAGTGACAGTACGCTGTGATCTTACTGACAGTACACTTGAAGTATTTGATCTTAGTGACAGTACACTTGAAGTGTGTGATCTTAGTGACAGTACACTTGAAGTGTGTGATCTTAGTGACAGTACACTTGAAGTGTGTGATCTTAGTGACAGTACACTTGAAATGTGTGATCTTAGTGACAGTGCACTTGAAGTATTTGATCTTAGTGACAGTACACTTGAAGTGTGTGATTTTAGTGACAGTGCGCTTGAAGTTTGTGATCTTAGTGATAGAGCGCTTGAAGTGTGTGATCTTAGTGACAGTACACTTGATGTGTAATTGAAACATTTACAAGGAAACAAATTGTTAAAAAAAATTTCAACTACCATTACTGTTTGTAATTACCACTTCTGTGGTGAAGGCAGGGGGAAATCTTTGTGCCTGAGGATTAGGGGCGGGACAGCTAGTGCTGTCACCCACGGACTGTGTAGGTTAGGGTTTTTGTGTGCCCCTGACAACAGAAATCAATATTTACGGAGGATTTAAACCTGGGTGCCCCACATGCAAGCTCAGTGTTTTAACTGTTTTGCCGTCCACTAACTTTAGTTGAGCTGTTGAATTTTTGGGATGTTTGAATTTCAGAGGGGTGGGATTGCCTTCTTGTACACACAGCTAAAATACATGTTTACAAATATTTGGTCATGCGCTTCTGCACTGAGCATGTTTATAGATTATATAAGGATGATTGAAAATAGCAACGCTCTAGCAGTCAGTAGTCAGGATTGAAAATAGCATCAATGTAGCAAATGCACTTTCCTACCCTTGATGTCACTTATATCATGTGCCCATCTTCTTGCTGGTTTGCCCCTACCCCTCTTTCCTAGCACGATGCCTTATGCTGCTGTTCTTTCCAGCCCACAGTGATGCTTTATATGGTCAAAATATTTCAGTTTTAGAGAGGAGATGCTGTATACTAGCAAATCTTCCTTGATGTCCAGATCTTTGAGGATGTCAGTATGTCTCTTCTTCTTTGTCCATGGTATTCTAAGAATCTTTCTATAGCATTTCACTTCAACACTGCACAGTATTAGCAGTCAAATTATTATGTTGTCTGCATTTAGGTAGGTATTCTTTAGACTGAGGATATAGGTGCTGATAGGTTAGGATATCTGTTTTATACATTGTCATATTATCAGAATCGATGTCACTGCACATTGGGCATTCCCATGCATGTTGAGTCCTCTGATGCAGCAGCCACTCCACTATACTTCTGCTAATTGTTCCCATGAGAGGTTGGTTATAATGTCTCCTATCTTGGCCTCAAAGGTGGCATAGACGTGCTTCACCATGCTTCACTCCCATTTCACACAATCATCTTAGTGTTAGAGATTCGTCATTATCCGCTAGCCCAGTCCATACAGCGTTAATCTTCTTCTTCTTCTTTGCATTCACCAGCTGTAAACTCAGGTGGAAAGTTCTGGTTGTTCGTCCACTTCTGGACTGCAGTTGTTTCAGAACCTGGGTGTTGTGTGTGCATTCGTTTGACAGATCTGACTCATTCGTGTGCTGACTGTTGGTTCCTTGCCTCTCGGCCAGATGCACTCCGACTTCGAAGAAAGCTCCCAATTAGTCGACTCTTACGACATGCTTTTGGGTAGGCAGTGGGTCTATTCTTATTTTCCCTATAATAGGGCCCTGGAACCCACGCGGGGACACATTATACTTACGTCCTTTTTAGGACGTAATTTTTTGTTATTTGAAGCCCCACTCTGGCTTTTGCCAGGGGCCGCAATATAGGCAGGCCATAAATATGGCCAATTGTCTGAACGCGGTTTCTGGGACCTCTCCACGGTGATCCTCACCCATTAGGTGGCACTTTGTGTCATCGGGTGTTTATCGCTTGTGTGACGTCCTGGTGGGGTAGAAATTCATTCATTCACGCGGGGACACAACGTTGATGATATCTGCTCTGCCCATGCTTCTTCCCACATGCTTTGGTGCATTGCTTGCTAGATTACTTGCCAGTTGATCTACTCAGTCATTGCCCTTTACACTAGTATGACCAGGAGTATAGATCCAGGTGAGGGAGGTTAAGTGCGATTTCAAATGCTTTCTGTCCATTCAGAGCACTTACTGCCTGTTGCTATCTTCTGAAGCATGTTCATGGAGTCTGATACAATTACTGCACATGTGGTTGTTTGCCCTGCTGCCCATTCTAGTGTTCTAGAAGCAGTAGCTGTTGTGATCAGTACACATTGTGATCCTCGGTAGGGCTTTGGGCTAAAACAAGAAACGCTAGCTTGCACACTTGGGCAAGCAGCTTGTATTCTTCCTTCCCTAGATAAACTTTAGCCGCAGCAGCAACAGTGACAGTGCAGTAGTGACAGTTTTCTTTTGTTTTTTTTTTAAGCTCCAGATTGCACCTTATATGCATGATTTCCTGTTTTTAATGACCCAGATGTTTGAGTTTCTAAAGCAAATTAACAACACAATTTTATTTAAAAACCACACTTTTAAAATGTGTGAAAGAGCCTTACACTGTGGACTATATCTTTTAATGTGTCATTTAGTTCTGTTCTTAAACTTGATTTTTTTTCTTCTGAGTTTCTACAATTTTAGTCACAATTCTGTCTTTTTTCTTTCTTTTCTTAGTATTTTTGTTTGTGCATGTCTTAAAAATATTGGGTGTTAGTTTTTGATGGTATGCTTGTCTGTTTATTTTAACTGTTTTTGGCATGTTTATGTTTAGTGTTAAAACATAATTTCTTGTTACTAAATTTGAACAGATAAAACTTAAAAGAAAATTGTGCATGTTGTTGTGTGAAGCTATGCAGGCATAGTGGCTAGTCGGTTGTCTGCTGGTCATAGATCTTGGGTTTGAATCTGAATTGAACCTAATTTTTTGTTTTACTTCAAAATTTTCCTTGGTGCTGAGGTTGGGCACACTCTGAGAGCGGACAAAGAATCACAAAATAGGAAACAAATGGACCGAGGAAGAGAGGACACCTAAATAAAACTGTATGATGAATATTTATGAGAGACGACATAGATGCCAGATTCTATTCTACTCTTTGCATAGGATATCTTCTTTGTGTTCATTGGCTGTAAACTCCAATGTAAAGTTCTGGGTGTTCATCCACTTCTGGAATTTAGTCATGTTTCAGAACCTGAGTGTTGCGTGCACATCCATTTTACAGATCTGACTCAATTGTATGCAGACTGTTGGTTGCTTGCCTCCTCAAGCAGATGCACTCCGGCTTCGAAGGAAGCTTCCCCTCAGCCCAACCATCAGTTAGTTGACTCTTACGCCATGTTTTTTGGTCCACAGTGGGATGCCAGGACCCACACAGGGAGCATAGGATATGATGGGGAGCGGGGTGTTTACTAGGAGTCCCAGTCCTGTGTGATACATAACAGCACAGCAGGATGATGATAGTGTGTGCTGTAGTTGTGCAGGGGCTAGCACCCTTGCCTGCCTGCTTGATGGTCACCAGTTTGAATCTTTTCCTGGGCACAATTTCCTGATGATCAAACCATATATACATTTGAGGGATAGCCTCTATAGTGTCTGATAATTTTGGCCTGTGCTTCTTATAGTTTTACTGCTAACATTGTAGCTTTGTTAAATGCTTTCCCCTTTTTGATTGCTCTGATGATATTCATTTTTTTTTAAATGTTCGGTAATATCATAGAAGGAATAATGTGACTCATTTTATGGGGGGAGGAGGGGGAATAGAGAATATATTATGAAGAGAAGAGCATGTATCTGAAATTTCTATATCTGTGGGTATCATGAGATTGCTCTTCAAAACTACAAAAATATCAAATAAAATGAATTTTGTGTGTTGTTCATCAGTCACAAGTGATGACCACTCTTTCTTCCATCCATCATGAGACCGGACTTATAAGTCCAGTACAGATCCAGAAGGTCATTGGAGGCAGGGAACTTATCTGTAGATAAAAGACCTGTTTTATGGGTCTTTCTAGCCTTTCTTTGCAGTTCAGCTGCCTTTTTTTCTAGCTGCCTCACAAGCCGCTGTGCCTCTTTGGATTGTCATTTGCCATGCAGTCCGTTCTTATGTAGCAGCCTCCCAGGTGTCAGGTTTATGTTGAAGGCTTTGAGTGAGGCCTTTAGCATGTCCTTGAAGTGGATGCTGATGGTCTGGGAATATAACAAAGAGAGAGACGAAACAGTGTGTATCGAAAGCTAAAAGAAACAACAATATTAACTTTACAGCACAAAGTAAATGAGAATATCATATGACAAAGGACTGAAGGTTAGTGATTGCCTGTCTCTGCCCCAGATCTGGCACTTGAATAAGAGGACTGTACACTGCCATGAGGCACACCACTAGCAGATGGATTGAACCCAGCATCATCATCATCATCATTGACCTGTTGTGCCTTTATGTGTCACATAAGACTGGTGGTTTATTCCTCTATTATGTTCTGTCCCTTACAATCAGTTCAGTATCATGGATGGAATCCAGTCCAGCACCTTTGGCTTCTCTCACCAGCTTTTGTTTGAAGGTTTCTTTTGGGCATCCTTGCTTCCTCAATCCCTATTTTAGTATTTGTTTTATGATTCACTGCTCATTTCTTCTCAGGATGTGTCCAGTATAATGTCATCTTTATCTTATAACTTTAGATACCCAACTAGCAACTGGACACACAAAAAAGACTTAATGGTTCTTATTGGCTTGACGCATTGATTAAACATTCAGGTCATCAAGATGCCTGTACATCTTTAGTGGGAACAACCTACCCCTTTCCCCCAATCCCTCCTCCCATGCACACGCACGCACACAAATGCATTCAGCATATTCATTGAGATATGTTTCAAATAGTCTAACTTTGGCATAAAAGTCTGAACTACAGTTGTTGAACATATATTTTCTGGTCTGACTTGTGTGAAATGTTGCATCCAATCAGGTCCAGTGGCTGATTGACAACTACGAGACAGCAGAGGGAGTCAGCCTTCCGCGGAGCACCTTGTATTACCACTACTTGCGGCATTGCCAGGAGCAAGGTCTTGATCCAATGAATCCAGCTTCCTTTGGCAAACTGATTAGATCTGTGTTCTTGGGACTCCGTACCAGACGGCTGGGTACCAGGTACTAAATGCAATCTCAGGTCTTAAATGTATTGTCAGTCTCATCGTGCACATCTTTTTGTGGGCAGTAGGCTGTGGCCAGTTTTTTAAACACTGTTATATATACAGATAATATATTTGTGGGTTCCGAGGCCTCATTTGTTGGTACTTGTTGTAGATTTAGTTAAAACATTCAGAAAAAATATTTGTCCCCATCAGCTCTTTTCAAGTTATGTATGTTTTTTTTTTGGGGGGGGGGGGGGGGGAATCCTTCTGGGTTCTGAGGCACCACTTGGGGAAAACCAGAATAGACCTGCATCCCTTAATAAGTATATTGTAAAGGGTAACTAATTAGGGGTTTGATGAAATTGAATGAGTTTGGCTACAAGGTGCAAATATCACAGCCTAGCTGTAAACTACAGAAGAATATTGGGCGCACCTTGTTTAAAGGCAGATGCTGAAGCGAAGAAGAATTGATAAGCTTGTACTTGCTTAGGCAACATATGTTTCTTGGTTGAAAACTTCTTTGCTTGCAAGGACGTTTGGTATTCATTCTGTCATCAGATGACCTGAATGTCAACACCTCAGACACAAGAGTTAAAACTCAGTCTTCCATAGACCTACTAGTCAATCAAGCAATCTCACAGCCAACCAGCCTAGTTAATTCTTGAACTAAGAGCTGACATCACAGCACTCGGGGCATTCCCACAAGTGCTTCTTCCTCATCTTTGGCAGCCATTGAAGAGTTCTAGTTCAAATGGTGCTGGTTGCAGTTTGATTATATGTCGGTCTTGCTTTTCCCTCAGTGTAGAGTGTTGAACCAGATCTCCTGGTCACTCCCAACTGTACCATTCTCTCCACACCCTAATGATCTGTTTATGCCTCTGCATTGTTCACTGTTAAAGGCCCTTGACCACATTTAGCTTGTGTTTACCAGCCAACCAACAAGCCTTGAATTATTATGTTTGTTTGGATATCTTACAGAGGTAACTCAAAGTACCACTACTATGGCATACGGATCAGGGCCAACTCGTCCTTGAATCAGTTCACAGATGACCAGACTATGGCTTTGAGGCAGCAACCCATGTACACAAGTAAAAAGTAAGTCATTACAATGTTTTGACCACTTAGAGAGAATGCCCTGGGACCTCATACCATGCAGGGCATAACCACAGAAAAGAAGGATGTATATCATGAAACAGATCAAGAACACAATGGAAAGAAATCATGAGAGATCATCTTTAACAGCAGGATGTGTCTGTGGGCGAGGTGACCAAAGAGCAAGAAGCAGGCAGAACCTTCATTTGACACCCAAAGTTGTACAAGAGAAAGTGAAGAAGAAGAAGAAGATGTAGTAACACCTAACTAAATTAAAAGATGAAATGCTTTATGCTGTGATGTAGTGATATACTTCAGCACAGCCCTATTCAGCAAATTGGATTGAGAAGTTCAAACACAAACATAGTTTGTAGGACATGTTGAGATTACCAATCTCTGCTATTTACTAAGCATTGTTTAGTTAAAACCAAAACTGACACTTGCTGTTAGGTCCAGTTCCCCCCATAAATGTCACTTTTCCGACTTGTCTGTGGTGATCTGTTTACAAGAGAAACATAATTATTGCTATTGGCTGCTTTCACGCCTGCACAAATATTTAGGATGTCAGGCTATTAATAAATGAACTTAAAATGTCGGGGGGGGGGGGGGGGGGATCCTTTAAGCCAAATAGCTTTCTTAAATATAACTAAATATATTACATGCTCGCATAAATACATAACACAGAAATTTGAAAAATAAATTACCTTTTTGATTTAAAAAACAAATGCAGTGTAAATGGGACCAAAGCAACCCACACTATTTTCAGTCTTTCCACCAAACCCCAGAAAGCTTTGTTTATGTATGGCATTCAGGCACTGAAACATGATCTCACCATCGAATTTAGGAGTAATTTTTGACCCAAGATTCATGTGGAGAAAACAGATAGAAAAGAATCAGATCAAGGTACTGAAGAGAACCCAACTGATGAGGAAGTTAGCTAGAACAGACTGGGGGTGGGGGCAAACCTCAGTGTCCTCATGAGGATCTGCACGGGCTATGTGAGGCCAGCACGAGAATATGGAATAGCTGCTTGGGGCACAGCAGCTAAATCAGATTTTCAGAAAGTATCAGAGATACAAAATCATGCTCTCTGAATTATGACAGGGGCTATGCGCTCCACGCCCATATCAGATATAGAAACAATTATCGATCTCCATGCTCTGGATGACTTGATCTATGGATGAACACTGACCTGATTTGTAAATCTGGTAATCATATGAGATGGTGAAACATGACTGCCTGGGCTTATTGCCACAGCACTTGGTGATGATAATGATGGTGAAGAAAAAGAGTATTTCAATGTGGTTTTGTTGATTAATGAAAAGTATCGTTTCTGTTTTTGTTGTTGTAGATTATCAAGTCAAAAGCAAGAAGGTGCTGAAGGGGATACAGGACAAACTGGCACAACAGGAGGGCAGACAGATGCTTCACATTCACAACAGCAGCAGCACACACAGTTTCTTGGGGATGCCTCTCATGCACTACCCTCTTTTGGGAGTGTCAGTATGGGCTCCATCCCATTACCTGATGGGTGTGATGTTGAAGATGTTCGCACCTTTGAAAAGATGTATAGGGAACATGCAGAGGTTGGTTCCTTCTTTGTTTATCATTCTTGGAGAGGTTGAGCAGTGTGTTTTGGTACACATTGAGAATGAAGCAGCTTAGGAGCGCATTGTTCAGCACAGGCTTAAGCAGCATTGGTGTGTCTCATGGTGAGATGGTTTATGCAGAATTCAATTACGCATAGTTATATGAACATAACATGCTTTATTGATAAAATGCAGTTGAAATGTGAAAGATGAGTATTTGAAAGGGCTGAATGTAGGACTGTCCTGTGTGTTCAGTTTGTGACCCTTTGAAAATAAAGTTTTTTAGCTTGTTTGTATATTTGAGTATGGTAAGTGTATGTGTGTGGAAGGTGGGGGTTTAGTTTGTTAGTGTGTATATGTTTAAAGAAGTTAGTTGCTTATCCTTTACAGGACGTTGCAGAACCAACACCGGCATTTTTTGGCTGTTGTGGTTTTTCTAGGCAAATTTTACATCTATTAGTTTAGTGTGTAAATGTAGATCAGTTATTTTTTATGGTGATGACATTTTGTGAAATGATGGAACTCTTCCGTAACCATATGTGTGTTGACATCCTGTGAAATGATGGAACTCTTCCATAACCATGTGTGTGTTGACATCCTGCAGGCTGTGGTTGATGTGGTTGTGAATCTTCACTTCAACTTGATAGAGAATTTGTGGCAGACATTCTGGAGAAACCCAACACCAGAATCTATGTAAGTCTGACCAACATTCCATGTGTCTGCTGTTTCTTGCTGATTGTTGTATTTTTAACCGTCTTGTGTCTGGTCTGAACATTGTTGTGCAGTCTCTTGACAGTCATCTGGTTAAAGGTTCTAGATAACGGCATTCAGGACAAGCCCAAATTAGCACCATCTGCTTCCTCAACGGCTAGTGAAATACCTTAATCTGGCAGAACAGTGTCCAGCCTCAGGCAGTTCATGTGTTGTGTGCAGTGACATGACGTGTGTAGTGTCATGACGTGTGCAGTGTCATGACATGTGCAGTGTCATGATGTGTGCAGTGTCATGACGTGTGCAGTGTCATGACATGTACAGTGTCCTGACGTGTGCAGTTTCATGATGTGTACAGTATCATGACGTATACAGTATTATGATGTGTACAATATCATGATGTGTCATGACATGTGCAGTATCATGATGTGTACAGTCATGATGTGTACAGTGTCATGATGTGTACAGTGTCACGATGTGTACAATATCATGATGTGTCATGACATGTGCAATATCATGATGTGTACAGTATCATGATGTGTTCAGTGGCATGATGTGTGCAGTGTCATGATGTGTACAGTGTCATGATGTGTGCAGTGTCATGATGTGTACAGTGTGATGATGTGTGCAGTGTCATGATGTGTACAGTGTGATGATGTGTGCAGTGTCATGATGTGTACAGTGTGATGATGTGTGCAGTGTCATGATGTGTACAGTGTGATGATGTGTACAGTGTGATGATGTGTACAGTGTGATGATGTGTGCAGTGTCATGATGTGTACAGTGTCATGATGTGTACAGTGTCATGATGTGTACAGTGTCATGATGTGTACAGTGTCATGATGTGTACAGTGTCATGATGTGTTCAATGTCATGATGTGTACAGTGTCATGATGTGTACAGTGTGATGATGTGTACAGTGTCATGATGTGTTCAGTGTCATGATGTGTTCAGTGTCATGATGTGTACAGTGTGATGATGTGTTCAGTGTCATGATGTGTACAGTGTGATGATGTGTGCAGTGTCATGATGTGTGCAGTGTCATGATGTGTACAGTGTGATGATGTGTACAGTGTGATGATGTGTACAGTGTGATGATGTGTACAGTATCATTATGTGTGCAGTATTATGACATGTACAATGTGACGGTGTGTACAGTGTGACGGTGTGTACAGTGTGATGATGTGTACAGTGTGATGATGTGTACAGTGTGATGATGTGTACAGTGTCATGACATGTACAATGTGACGGTGTGTACAGTGTGATGATGTGTACAGTGTCATGATGTGTACAGTGTGATGATGTGTACAGTGTCATGATGTGTACAGTGTCATGATGTGTACAGTGTGATGATGTGTACAGTGTGATGGTGTGTACAGTGTGATGATGTGTACAGTGTGATGATGTGTACAGTGTGATGATGTGTACAGTGTGATGATGTGTACAGTATCATTATGTGTGCAGTATCATGATGTGTACAGTGTGTTGATGTGTACAGTGTGTTGATGTGTACAGTGTGATGATGTGTACAGTGTGATGATGTGTACAGTGTGATGATGTGTACAGTGTGATGATGTGTACAGTGTGACGAAGTGTACAGTGTGACGATGTGTACAGTGTGACGATGTGTACAGTGTGATGATGTGTACAGTGTGATGATGTGTACAGTGTGATGATGTGTACAGTGTGATGATGTGTACAGTGTGATGATGTGTACAGTGTGATGATGTGTACAGTATCAACACCTGATTGCATTCTGTTACACCTGTCTGGAGTTGAATGAACCCACTGTTCCAGCAGACATGCTGAAAAAGCGACTAATTAGGGATGTGCTGAAATCACATGTTAGACCGAAAGGCAAACTATATTATAGCAAAGCTGTAAACCACAGTACAACATCCCAACTACCTCTTCTAAGGACATCCCAAAAATAGAAGCAGAAGAACTTAAGTTTAAACTCAGTCTTCCAGAACATTCACAACAAACAATTTTTATAGGAACACAGATAAACATATGTTGTTGTGAATCTCTAATATGCATAAAACAAGAGCTTTATCTTACTGATGACTCATGATAGTTAGGATCTGTGGTCTGTAAGCTGACCAGTACAAATAAAAAGTCCCCACGTGGGATGCAATTTTTTTGTTATTTCAAGCCCCACTCTGGCTTTTGCCGGGGGCCCTAAATATGGCCTAATGGCTGAACGGGGTTTCTGGTACCTCTCCACGGGTGATCATCATCCACATAGTGGCACTTTGTGTCACCGGGTATTTATAGCTTGTGGGATGTACTAGTGGGGTACAACTTACATACATACACAAACATACTTACTAGTACAGATCTATGGTTGACCTATCTCATAAAGAATTGGTACCAGGTAATTTCCAGAATTAGATGGGAAGAAAAGTGATAGAGAAGGGAATCGGCCACACTACGGCATCACTCGCACTCTGCCAGTGTCACTGTGCAAAGACGGTCTACACAATCTTTACCAAAAGCCACCAAGTAGCAAGGAAGAATATTAACCTGAGGTTAGACAAACACCAAGTGATGAAAGAAGAGCATCCCACATACCTTGGAGTCACACTTGACCCGCAGCTCAGCCTCAAGAACCATATTGAAAACATCAGGAATAAGGCATTGAGGCGGTTACAGTTATTAAAGAGACTTGCAGGTACATCATGGGGATCAGACAAGGAAACTCTGAGGGGCTTATACCTAGGATATGTTCGCTCTGTGATAGAGTACAACAACTCACTGCTTACAACTTGTTCCAAAACTAACCTAGAGACTCTTGACAGAGTACAAAATAATGCCCTCCGATTAATCTGCGGAGCTATGCAGTCTACACCAACTGCTGCATGTGAAATCCATACAAATGTGGAACCCCTCGGGTTGCGGAGAGAAAAAGCCACTTTAGAAATTTATGAAAGATGCGTTAGGAAAAATCGTAACCATCCTAATAGACATCTTGTAGAAAACTGGGAATCCAAACAAAGAATAAAGCACAAATCGGTTTTACACTGTGTAAATGAAATTCAGGACAGATACCACCTCCCAGAAAGACGTCAAGGAATTCAGAATGTTGCAAAAAACCTACCACCACATGCTCGCTTTAAAGCTCCAGAAGTCCAAACTAAATTGGTAGGCGAGGAAACCAAACAGTCCGACCCAATCGCTCTTATGAACTCATCACTAAAGACCGTTGATTCTTACCCCAAGAATGGATACATGTCTATACTGATGGATCAGCATTTAAAGCTACCATTAAAGCAGGTTACGGAATCTACATAGGTTATCCCGATGGATCTGTTGAAGAGATTTTTGATGCATGCGGGGAATTCTGTTCAAACTATGAAGCTGAAATAATTGCACTGGAAACAGCAGTATACCACCTAAAGACTGTAATGGATGTTTACCCCTCAAAGGTCCAAAATATTGTCATCTTCACAGATTCAATGTCTGCCCTTCAAGCTCTGGAGGGCAATGAACGCTGCAGAACTGACATAGCCAAGATAATCCTGGATGCCGATCATCTTATTACCTCATACAACATCAGAATAGTGATGCAGTGGATTCCAGGTCACTCCGGCACACCAGGTAATGACAGAGCTGACAGATTGGCAAAGAAAGGAGCAACACAAGAACAACCACCTACAGCGACAACCCTCCAGACAGCAAAAACACTGATAAGAGCTATAAACAAAGAGACTTGGTTGAACAGATGGGCCATGGGAGACACTGGAAGAGAGGTTTATAGACATATGTCTGGCCCTGATCCTAATGACAGCATTAACCATCTAACAAGAAGGGACCAGGCCACCATCTTCAGATTTAGAACGCAACATACTCCACTCAATGGACACCTAAACAGAATACAGCCACAACACTCCCCAGAGTGCCAGCTATGTAACTACCCCTACGAAACTGTTGAACACCATCTCTTTGAGTGCCCAAAACTCAGTGAGACAAGAAGAGCGCTACTCCCTCCGAGACCAGACAAGTGGAACACCTTGTACGGAGGAAAAGAACAGCTTGTGAAAACATGCAAATTCCACTACATGGCATTGGGCCAAAGGGCGAAAGCTCATGCGCCGCTGGATCGATAACAACAACAACAACAACCTATCTCATAAAGAATTGGTACCAGGTAATTTCCAGAATTAGATGGGAAGAAAAGTGATAGAGAAGGGAATCGGCCACACTACGGCATCACTCGCACTCTGCCAGTGTCACCTCACTGCTGAATGCTTGTGTTGTGGATGATGTTTTCTAACACAGAGATCGGATGAAAATTGTGTTATGCCTGAAAAGAAATACTTTATTTCAACCTGCATGGAATAGAAATTCCTCTGTGTCTCATTTATTATAAAATGACAAATAACAGACCTGAAAATGCACCTAGGTGACTGTGGCATAGTGTCAGAAAATTACCATTTTCTGCTAATGTCACAAAATTACAGTTTTCTGCCAGTGTCACAAAATTGAAGTTTTCTGCTAATGCCACATCTGCAACTGCTTAGAGGTGATAAAATATGATATTTGTGGCTAGAAAGTTACTTCTAATATGAGTTATGAGTTGGGTTATCTTCACAGCACTCCGAACACATCCATGGGTGCTCAGATTGCCCCTTCAACACATTCATCAGCGTCGCGTCGTGTTAATAGTGCCAGTCCTCTTATTTCTGATATATGAAGTGCTACAGTAACAGCCATTTTGATTTGTCTACTTTGTTGTTATTACTGACGTGCTTGCGATTAAGCAGAAATTGTTGGGGGTCCACCTGGACTTTTTCGCGGCCCACAGGTTGGAGATTATTGGTCTAGCCACTCCGTATGGGTTCCGGGGCCCCAATACAGGGAAAACAAGAATAAACCCACTGCCTCCCCAACAAACATGTCTTAAGAGTCGACTGAGTGGGGATTTCCTTGAAATCTGCCTGAGAAGCAAGGGACCAACCGTCTGCATACAATTAGGTCAATCTGTTAAACAGCTGTACACGCAACACTCAGGTTCTGGAACAAGACTAAAGTCGAGAAGTGGACTATCAACTAGAACTTTCCACGAACATACGAACTGATCTAGCATATGTAAAGGCCCAAGCAATTAGCACTTCCCTAGCACTGTTTGTCATAGGACTTTTTGAGTTTTGTAAATATGAAAAGACAAACTTAGATCTGGATTGATGTCCTGTTATTTGTAATTTTTTTTTTAAATGTCTTACAGTAATCTCGATCCTGTTGAAAAAATGGAAAAGCGAATGCCTAAAGAGAAACTGTTTGCACTGTGTCGTTATGAGCCACTGCTGAACTGGGTCCGCAGATCAGACTATGCATTTTACCAGGCGTTGGTGGAGGTTCTAATTCCTGATGTGCTGCGACCGATACCCAGTAAGTTGCTGTTGTATAAATTGTGATTGAATTTACTTGAATGCTTCTATCTTCGTTTGAATAATGATGAACTATGGACAGCACCAAGTAAATTCTTTTAGAATACAAAATGTTGACTCAGCGGGAAGAATTCTTTCTTTTACTTGTCTAGTGATGTACTATAAAAGTTGTACATTTTCCATCTTATGATTGGTTACCAAAAAAAAAAAAAAAAGCAAACCAGATGTTTTGAAAGAGGTGATAGTTTGAAGACAACTTATCACAAACATCAGCAAGAGACAGTCATCATTTGTTGGTCATGTTATGAGAGGAAAAAAGTGGAACATGTTGTGACCAAGGGAAAAGTCTGTGGGAAAAGTGACAGAGGAAGACAAGGTGAGAAGACAGCCTGTCATGACATGGATGGGTGTCAACACACAAACTGATACATGCTGTTGAAGATCGCAGATTGTGGAGAGGCATGATCACCCATGCCAGTCAGCAAGGCGCTTGATGATGTTAATTATTTGTGAAAGGATCACATTTATTGTACATCATACTTCCTCAAAGTGACTCAGTCTGCTTTGATAGATCATATAAGGAGAAGCTCAGCACAGTACACAAATACAGTAACACCATAATGATTTAGATGCATGTATTAGCAGAATATGGGAGCTGATGTGGTGTTGTGGCTAGTCCTTAGCCTGTGGATCGGAAGATTGTGGGTTCGGTTCCTGACAGCACCAGACTTTTTAAAAATGACCTCGGCTGTCAGGTCAACCCAGCATTGAATGGGTACCAGATGGAGTCCTGGGAGGTCAAGGTGGCCAGCGTTCTGCTGACCACATCACCCACCAAGTACCGTTTGATCTATTAAATATTGGTCTAGCTCTGTATGTGCAATATGTCTGAAAGTGGGAAAAGGAATCCTAAAAAATATTCCAGAATATACTGAAAAAATATCTTCACCAGTGCCGGTCCTAAGTCAGGATGAGAAAGGAGAAGGGTTGGACTTGGGATCAGCTCCCCCACCCTGTACAATTATTTGCTACAGAAACTTATAGGAAGTGATTAAAGCGAATGTTGTTGAGAGAAGCCAAAGATGCTGGAATGGATTCCATCCATGATTTCAAAGTAACTACACAGGATAGAACAGAATGGGGCAATAGACTGTGAGCTCTATGTGACATATATTGGCACAACAAGACAATGACTGAATGAATGAATATACTACAACCACACTGTAGTATGGCAGTTTTGTCGCGCACCTTACTTACAGGATATTTTCACAAATCCCTCAGGTGCTCTGAGACAGGAGAGTTTTGAATGGTGGCTCTCGTTCGTCTAGAGGCCTAACCCTCGGTTCAAACTTTCCATTCAACCTGTCTCAGGGATGAGGTGACACGAGCTCTGACTCCACAGGGTTTTTATGAACACTTGGGTACCTCTCGGCCAGACGTCCTCACCACTAATTGCCCCCAGACTGGAAAAAAAACAAGTCCAGTCGAACAAATAATCAACAGCGAATTTGACAAGACAACACTGTCTCTCTGAATAAGACAATAAAATTCAGTAACACGAAACTTTTCTATCAACTAGAAGACTACTGAATTATATCTCGATTATAATTAATTTACTATAACAAAGTCAAGGGAAACCGTAGCGAAGAAATAAAAAGAACGATCACAACTTTAAAAATCTAACACAAGAGAAAGAATTCCTCTAAATAGACCTATAGACTATCATGTTCATCACGGCGAAGGAGAAAACATGACCATGAAGGCACATTTGGAGACGAGTTATCTTAGTCTGCCACGTCACTTATCTGATCAGATCTCGTAGCTCCTCAGCGTCTCAGAGTGGAGTAATACGCCACCGTACTTTACTGCACGGTTACACAGGAATGAATCAGCTTCTCCGGATGCCGAAAAGGAAACTCTCTCTGCCGTACTTCCCAGTACGACCACACATGAACGAATCAGCTTCTAGTATTAATCAAGGACTGTCGCCTCACTTCACCGGAACGAATCAGCTTCAGGTGCGGATCCAGGAAACTCAAGTCACTATTGAGGGACTCCGGCACCCGTGTCGTCCGCACATTCAACACCGTAATTCAGCATACGTAAAACGTTTACTGGGTCGTGGCAGTTGGAACCACACTATCAAACGTAGACACTTGTTGGATCTTCAGAAAATCCTGAAAAACGTAAAGTAACAGACATGAGCGAACCGTACTCAACGCACCTATTTAATCAAGGTCCTTACTTCCTCCAAATGCTCAGATATATTTTAGGTTATTCCAAACCATGAAGGTTGGTTACCTCAATCCTAGAATCCTTTTTGTTTCCTAGAGTGAGCACTAGATCATTAACTCGAAGAGTTCCTGGATTCAGTTCTGTGGCAAAGGTTAGACAGATCCCCATTATTTACTGTCCCTTCTAACGTAGAAAATAAGGGATCGGCGATGAAGTCAAAACCAAGACCTACTGAAATATGTTATGAAAACAATACGACAGTCGAAGCTTGTTGTGGTTACGAAATCACCTAGCAACAGCGGACATGACGTCATGTCTGCCCATAAGCTTCTTGTCGTTCAAAACCATTCAGAGACTTACCAAGTTCTGATACCGAATACTAGTAAATAATTAACGATACAAAGTTATCAATACTACAAACCCACTCCAGATATGTAGATTGATTGAATTGAAAAGGTTTAAAAGGCCATTTCAAAGCATTCTGCGAGAAATGTCAACCGAAAGTGCATTCCGATCTGGAGCTCCTTTCGCCACCTTCCTTGGCAAGAATCGTAGGAAAATAGATTCGCATTATCCAGCTGCTGACCTTACTTACCTACATCACAGACACTATGAACGCAAATATTCAATTAAAAAGTCCTTAAGAAAACTCACCCATTGTAAATAAAAAAGAGAACAAGGAATCTTGTCTGTATAACGGTCAATTGGCGAGACACAAGGAAAAACGCCTGCCTCCAAGACCGGACTGTAGAGAGTGACGCACACAAACACGTCCCCTAACAACAGCAGTTAGCGTACGAATCGCACTCACTAATGCAGTGCAGTGGTCAGACAATTTATTTAGAATAGGCGCAGAAAATGTGTCCTAACATTCAATTCGACACTCAAAGCCTAAAAGAGTCATTATCAAAGGGTTTTATATGGATTTTTCCTATCAGGACTCCCCCACAACAAACGAACTATCTAACTATGCTTGGCCTATTCTATTACATAGTTACGATGACGAGTTTAGGGTTGTCAGCTATATGGACCTTCCTGCTGTGGCAGATGTGTGGATGCTGTCATGCGACACACACATACTGTAAAATATTTGTTTTGTAGATGAGTGTCCAGCTGGATAGTTAAAGGTGGAAAGGATGCTCTAGGAGACCAAGAAAAGACAGTTTGGTGTCATGGCATGGAGAATCTGCTATATCAGACATGTTTGGGTGTGCACACAAAAAAGAAAGCTGTAGGCAGATTCAACACCACACAGTATGGAGAACGAATGAACGAACAAACATGATTTCCAAAGGATCACATGCAGGCTTTTGATTTGGTGAAACGTTTTCCTCATGTCTGAGTTCGTGTTTGGTTATCTTGACATTGCTGTTTACCTGCTGACGTCTTCTTTCAGGTTCCCTAACTCAGGCCATCCGAAACTTTGCCAAAAGCTTGGAGGGGTGGCTGAAGAATGCTATGCAAACTATTCCAGAGGAGATGGTGAAAACCAAGGTAGGTTAGATCCACAAAATCATTGGTTTTCTACAGAGAAGACAAGTAAAGGACCCTTTCCTCCACACATTTTGGTATATTGGGCATATAGGGCTAGACCTATATTTTATAGACCAATCAGCACTTGGTGGGTGATTTGGTCAGCATCACGCCTGCCGCCTTTACTTCCCAGGACTTAATCTGTTACCCAGTCAAGGCTGGGTCGACCTGGGATACAAGATCATTTTTGAAAAAATCTGGCATGACCCATGACCTTCCGATCCGTGGAAGAACATTTAGCCGCTACACCACGGTGGCTTCCTTCGTACAGAAAGAGGTGTAGATATATCATCTGATTATTTGATTTCAGCCAATGTTTTTTTAATAGAATCTCACAGAAAAGAAAATTGTTATCCCATGACTTGTTCTGGTATCCACTCAAGGCTGGGTCATCCTGGTCTCCAAGGTCATTTTTGAAAAAGGGCCCAGCTCCTTTCAGATTCGAACCTATGACCTTCAGATGCACAGTAAGCATCTAACCATCACACCATGCAAAATTTGAGCTCTAACGCTATTCAAGAAATAGTTTTAAAATCAAAAGCTAAACTTTGTCAAGACAAAAATCATGAGTGAACTTGATTTAAAAAAAACCTGATTAATACGTGCAATTAAAAGGAAAAATAAGGGTTCTATTCTGTTTGTATCCGAGACTGAGAGGGTGAGAGAGAGAGAGAGACTATGTTAGTTCTTATACTTTTGAGTGATCTTTTTAAGGAGCTATTTGTATTCTTGCAGCTCGGAGCTGTATGTGCCTTTGCTCAAACTTTGAGACGTTACACCTCATTGAATCACCTGGCCCAGGCAGCTCGAGCTGTGCTACAGAACACGTCACAGATCAACCAGATGCTCACAGATCTCAACAGAGTGGACTTCACCAATGTCCAGGTGAGTGGTAGCACAAGCAGGTGCATGATATATGATAGGATTTGTTGATAACTTCTGTTTGTCTTGTCCACTCTGAGTTAGCAGACAGGCTTGCAAAAAATGAAACAAAGGAGAAACAACAAGCCCATTCATTGTCATTACCAGAAATCAGAACACTAATCTAAGGAAAATACATGGAATTGGGGAGAGAAAAAACTAACAGTAAACATCCACAAGACCCCATCAGCAGACTCAACAAAAAGCAACAAACAACAATTGTCCATCTACAAACAGAATGTTATATAGGTAGAAGATGGATGAATTAAACCTGGATCCGGCATGGATGTATTGATAAGTGGACAGCAAGGAAGGATTGATATAGATTAAAATAAATATATAAACTGGTATATATAGATAAGTGGATCTCTGGATAGATGGATGAGTTGACCACACGGATGTTATATAGATCAAAGTGGTAGATAAATTGATAAATAGATGAATGAGGAGTCAGGGAGGTAAATGAGTGGATAGCAAGGATAGCTGTAGATTAAAATGGATAGGTAGATAAAAGAGAGGATTCATTAATGGATGGATGAGTGGATCCATTTGTGGATAGCAGAGATAAATAGGATTAAAAAAAAGTGTAGCTATAGTTATCTCAGATGGCTAGATCTACAGTGTGGTCTGCTTGGATTTGAATCAAAAGGAAAACACAGAAAACCTGTAAAAACTGGAAACTTTCCGCCCACCTTGACATTTGCTTCATGACTGACCTTGAGCTCAAGCTCATTACCATGTCGCTTTGTACTTTGCAGGGTTTGCATGCCACATGATACTCACGAGTACTGTGATTGTTTGTCAGTCTTATAAGGCTTGACACTTGCTCTCTAAGAGGGTGGATGAACAACCAGAACTTTCTGCCGGAGTTTACAGCTGGTGAACATGAATAAGAAGAAGAAGATTGCTTGCTGAAAATGAAACTGCAAGAAACGATGGACATATTTGTAACAGAAAGTCAAAACAAGGGTCTTTGAACTGCAAAAAAAACAGAAGTAATGATAATTTTTTTTTAAACCGACAACAAGCAGTGGACTCTTCAAACTGTAACATCAAAATGAATGAGAAAGTCCTCAGGCAAGTAAAACATTTAAGTACTTTGGTACCCTGATAACATCAGATGGAAGATGTATTTAAGAAGTTAAATGTCGAATAGCTCAAGCAAAGGCAACATTTTAAAAAATGAAGATTCTATGCATTTTTTGAGACGAGAAAGATAATTCTTAAAGGCTGTCTAAAAAGGATAGTATTTTGTCACACATAAAGCTGTACATAATATGGAAGTGAATCATGGACAGTTGGTAGATTAGTGACAAGTATTTAGAAGCTGCGGAGATGACAGATGATGAGAATACCCTGGACAGATAAAAAGAGTAATGGAGACGTCTTGAAAGAAACTAATTCATTAAGAAGCTGATTGTCCACATCAGACCGTCAACGAATATAGAAATACAAAAATATCCCAGATACGGTAGACAAGAATGTTGCGCTTATGGCGCTTCCCCCTGCAGTACTTCTAATTTTTACACAAGTGCCTGCGACGTATGTAAATACACACATACATACATACATACATACATACCTCCATCTGTCCATACATCCAGTTTTCATCATCATCATGTGTATTGCTTGGTCTTCAGGAACAAGCATCCTGGGTGTGCCAATGTGAAGACTCTTTAGTCCAGCAGCTAGAGCAGGACTTCAAGGCCACCCTCAAACAAGGCAACTCCCTGGAGCAGTGGGCCCAGTGGCTGGAAGGTGTCGTCAACCAGGTGCTGAAGCCCCACGAAGGCAATGAGAACTTCCCAAAGGCAGCCAGACAGTTTTTGCTCAAGTGGTCTTTTTACAGGTTCGTCTTATCAAATGAAAACCTTAACATTGTGATAGATGTACATTAACCAAGCAATTATCTTGTAACCTGTCAGTATTATTGCCAAGGATCTCAGAAGAGTTAAGCATGTGACATCATGGACAGTATACATGAAGGTGGTGAAGTTAAAGAGATGGTTTAATGATGGTTGATCTACTCGTGTTATCCATTTTTTTTTTAAAAATCAGATAACTATCATAATGTAACCATGTTCATCTGCACCATATCACATGCTCAATCCTTTTAAGGTTTGCATATAAAGCCCTCTCATATAATCATATGTGTGCCGTATTTTTGATGGGATGGACAATAAGCATACGTGTTCCAAAACTGATGCCTTATTATAAACATTTCGACACACCAAAGATAAAAACAGCAGATAACGGAGAGTGAGAAGCAACCAACAACAGAGTTCATAACCTGTTTAAATCACCATTAATCACTGACATCATGGGAGCTGACAGACTGCAGTTGTTAGGGAATATAAAGAGAATGACAGATAATAGGGAAACAAAATCTCTGTTTGCAGAGAGTGTGTGGCATACCAAGGAAACCTTAGATAGATAAAGTACAGACAAACTAAACCAGTTGTAGTCAGCAGCTTGAAAGGGAAGGCCAGTCACAGGGGTCAATGGAAGTGAGTGATGTCCCCTGCAATGAACCTCAAGGGTACAGAATGCTGAGGAACGTTTCAATGGCTTTGATGTTTCTGAGAAAAATGCAAATACAGTGGTACCTCAGAATACAGTTGTTTAAGATTTTAAGTTCGATTTTGTTTGTTTGTCTTGTACAGTTATTGCGCCTGATTTAAAAAAAAATTTTTTTTATACATTTATCAGTGCAATTAAATACCCACTAGACAACAAAATATACTGAGATCAATTGTTCATCTGTACATGTATTTAGAGCTAGAAATTGAAAACGTCAACAACTTTATATACCTAGGAAGTAAAATGACATCCATAGGGGACTCAGTGTTAAAAATATCACATAGAATCGCACTAGCATCTAGTGCCTTTAACAAAATGTCAAACATCTGGAAGTCAAAGATACTCAGCACACACAAAACTCAAGATCTTCAACTCTTGTGTGATTCCAGTGCTAACTTATGGATGCAAGAGTTGGAAAACAACGGTAGCTCTAGATAAAAAAATTAGACATTTTGAGAACAGATGTTTTAGAAGAATACTAAATCTCCACTGGTCAGATTTCAGATCCAGTACGCAAATAAGACAAGAGACCAAGCAAGACAGTGTATCCTGTTTAAATAAGAAAGTGTCGCGGGAACTACATCAGCCATGCTCTCAGAATGGATAAGACAAAACTTCCCCATCAAGCCCTCAAATGGACACCGGTAGGGAAAAGAAAATGGAGAAAACCAAGAGAGACTCTGCGTCGAATCACTATCAAGGAAGACTCAATCATGGGCCTAACTAACATCCAAGACCTAAACCAGGTGGCAATGAACCGCCAGACATGGACAGCTATCTTCTGTTCTTCTTCGTGTTCACCGGCTGTAAACTCTGGTTGTTCGCCCACTCTGGACTCTAACCCTGCTGCAGAAACAAATTTGTGTGCACATCTGTTTTACAGGTCTAACAAATTTGCATGCAGACTGTTGGTTCATTGCATCCCAGGCAGATGTATTCTGACTTTAAAGGAAGCTCCCAATTAGTCGACTCCTACAACATGCCTTTGGGCAAGCAGTGGGTCTATTCTTGTTGTTCTTCCTACAATAGGGCCCCAGAACCCACACGGGGAATGGAGAGCTATGACCTCTGCTCTAGGCGCCGCCCTAGGCCCAAGAGGAAAGACTAATCAACTAGCTTGTATTTAAAATTTTGAAACAAATAGCACCTTGGACATAAGATGTTAGACCCAGTTTTTATAGACACTCGATGGGTGGGCCTTACTTCCCATTTTAGACCCGGCTGACTTGGGGGTCAATGTCAATTTGGAAAAATATCTGAAAAATATCCTTTGCACCGCAGGTGGGCATCTAGTCACTACACCACCACAGCTTCCATATTAGTATCTGTATGTGAGATATTTTTGTAGATCTAGCGTGCTCTAGACATTTGTAAGGATATTCATATGTGATTGTTTACTTTCTTCTTCTCACTTTTTTTTAACCAGTGGAACATAGCTTCTTAACTGATTCACACCAAGCTCTCATCTTTTGACTTGTTCCTGATTGACTAGATTTAGGCTACATTTATGTGTCTCTTAATATCACAGGTCACTTTAATTATCTGCTGTTGATCTCAGCCGATAACTTCTTTCCCAGTCAACAGTTATTAGGATATCTGGTAATCTGGTAATCTTACTTTTAGCTTCATAGCAAACGGGTCACCCCATAGTTGCTCTGCTCCTGTGCCAACGAAAAACACACAAAATGTTTATCACAGTTCAAATGAAATCCGTAGCCTACAGTGTCACGCCATGCACTTAACTCAGAAGCTGGGCAACGAAACTATATCCTTTCAGTCTACAAATGGAGCAAAAATGCAACGGCCACCATCTGGCAAAGGCACAAAAATTTGCCTAGGTTAAAAAAAGTATCCATGCCTAGCGTCCATTTTGACCTGAAGCATTGTGTGAGGGTTAATAAGCGGTCACCCCAGCAGTAACCTCACTATCAGCTGGGGAAGGAACTCAGGACATTACATCCACCAGCAAGTGTCACCCCTACAACGACCTGACTGCCTTCGTTAACGACTGTTCACCCAACAGCCATGTAGTTCTTTGGCACGAAGGAGACATCTTGAACTTGGGTTTCAGACTGCCAAATCCCTACAAGATGTTATGTTACGTTATCACAGTCGACGTCACTGCACATTTGGCATTCCCATGAGCGCTCAGTCCTCCGATGCAGTTGTTAGGATATTCATTTGTGTGGTTTTTCTTCCAGTTCGATGGTGATCAGAGACTTGACACTTCGAAGTGCAGCAAGTTTTGGCTCATTTCATCTGATCAGACTCCTCTATGATGAGTTCATGTTCTACCTGGTCGAGCACAAGGTGGCCAGTGCTACAGGACAGACACCTATAGCTGTCATGGGAGAGGTAAGACAGGTGAGAAAACTACATACACATTTTGATTATAAAGCATAGACAGCTACATCTTTTGGTGCTTTATTAATATCCTACCCCAAGCAGTGGAAATCCAAAGGTCACGGGACAGTCTAATATTTCAGGGGGTGGTAGATAGGCTGTATGCAGTCGTGGGACCTATGTTGCACTCTTTCGTGGGACGTAGGTGGGTTGGGGTTAGGGCCAGTTGTGGCTGTCCTGGGGTCGTTAAAAGCTTCAGAAAGCCAGGAAACCTAGTCTTACCACCCTCTAAAATGTTGGACTGTCCTGTGATGTCATCTGGGGTAGGAACTGCTATAAAGAACCCATTTTTTGTTTGTTTATGCCTTCAGTGCTACAGATAAGTAAAGGTGCTGGTGTGCAGAGGTTGACGTTTGCATTGACCAAGACCTTGCTTCATCTTCATCCAGGCCAGACTCTTGACTGGGAGACATCCTAGGCAAACACTAGTCTGAAACATCTTGCGTAAACAATAGTCTGTGGGACATCCTGGGCAGTCTAGTCTAAAGGACATCCTGGGCAGACTGAGGGACATTCTGGGCAGACTGAGGGACATCCTGGGTAGACTGAGTGACATCCTGGGTAGACTGAGGGGCAGACTGAGGGACATCCTGGGCAGACTAGTCTGAGGGCCATCCTGGGCAGACTAGTCTCAGGGACATCCTAGATAGACTAGTCTGAGGGACATCCTGGGCAGACTGAGGGACATTTTGGGCAGACTGAGGGACATCCTGGTCAGACTGAGGGACATCCTGGGCAGACTGAGGGACATCCTGGGCAGACACCAGCCTAGAACATCTTGGGTAAACATGAGTCTACACCCCCTAGTTGAAAAAGAAACACTACGGGTAATTAAAGTTTAGTTTGATGTTGTTTTTTTTCTTTAGATTGAATGCATATCTTTCTGTGACTGTTTCTGATATTGAATGCATATCTTTCTGTGACTGTTTCTGATATTGAATGCATATCTTTCTGTGACTGTTTCTGATATTGAATGCATATCTTTCTGTGACTGTTTCTGATATTGAATGCATATCTTTCTGTGACTGTTTCTGATATTGAATGCATATCTTTCTGTGACTGTTTCTGATATTGAATGCATATCTTTCTGTGACTGTTTCTGATATTGAATGCATATCTTTCTGTGACTGTTTCTGATATTGAATGCATATCTTTCTGTGACCATTTCTGATATTGAATGCATATCTTTCTGTGACTGTTTCTGATATTGAATGCATATCTTTCTGTGACTGTTTCTGATATTGAATGCATATCTTTCTGTGACCATTTCTGATATTGAATGCATATCTTTCTGTGACCGTTTCTGATATTGAATGCATATCTTTCTGTGACTGTTTCTGATATTGAATGCATATCTTTCTGTGACCGTTTCTGATATTGAATGCATATCTTTCTGTGACTGTTTCTGATATTGAATGCATATCTTTCTGTGACTGTTTCTGATATTGAATGCATATCTTTCTGTGACCGTTTCTGATATTACTTATATATTTTGATTCCCACAGTTCCATGACCTGAGCAGTGCTGTCAACCTGTCATCCATGGATATGAATGATGATGATGAATCTTCAGACTCCTCTCAGCCTTCGTGTTTAGCACCACAACACCAAGTAATCCAGCGGGTCACCATGGTGTCAGCACCCTCTACACATCCCTCACCCACTGCCCTGATGCTGGTCACATCAAACACAGCAGGGGCGGGTCTGGTGGCACAACCTGCCGTTGCTGTGCGCCAAACTGCTATTGGACAAACTGGTGCCCCGACGGCCATCACAGTCAGACCCACAGCAAATGGGATTGGAGCCGCAGGAGGGTTGGTGGTCCTGTCTGGCACCACCATGGCCGGATCGACCCCGTTACATTCTGTGAGTGTCCCTACTCAAGGTGGACTTCCAGCAACATTAGCTGTTCGTACAGCCACAACTGCTAACCCAAATGCAAACAAAACACACACAATCCTGGTCATGCCGGTTTCCAACACAAGTGCAGCAGAAGTGCCCGCGGTGAAGAGAATAAAAACAGAATAGGCAGTATTTTATTGTGACACTTCCGTTACCATTAATTTATGCACAAGTACAGCTATTTATTTTAACCAAAGAACTGAAGAAAACCTGGCAGGTTTTTGTTTGATGAATAGAGCTGTATTTACCATGATCTTGTTTTGGTATTATTTGTATGTTGTATCTGGCAGTGTGGTAGGGGATAAAATATGGCTGCTGAAACATGACAATAATTTTTTTTTAAACACCAAAAGTCATGTACCTATTGAAAATTTAGAAAACAGAAACAATTTATTTATCTACATTTTCAACATTTGTTTTGAAATATATAAAGGGAGTTATCAATAAACAAGAACAGGGGGAAGCATTATATAAAATGCTTGCCAGGGATGTAAACCTAATATGTATTGGGTGACTCATGGTGTGACTCTGTAACCTCTATCAATGAGGCTTACAGGAAAGTTTAAGTCAATATGACTTTAAAAAGCTATTGGATTTTTTTTTAAAAGAATTATTTTCAGGAATTCCCACGGGTTCGTTACATATTGTTTTGTTTTAGCATTCCTGGGGTGAAATGGTCAGTAAACTACAGGATGTTTTGTGTAGTTTTCTTGGCACAGAAATAGAGCATTTAGGGGATGACTTATTGGCGTAAAGTTTGAACAGTGAGTAATGACTAACTGTAGATTAGAGGAAGAATGTATGTATAGTAAAATATATTTTTATCTTCCTCCTCAAGAGACTTTGGTGGAAAACCGTGTGCAATATTGACCTTGTTGAAAAGGTCAGGGCTGTTATGTGCAAAACTAATGTATCTATCATCTTTTCATGAAAATTAATGCCATTTGTTGATTGACCAGTGACATTTCCTTAGTCGTGACATGACAAATAGGCAGGAAGTATGTTCATCTAAGAATTGGGGTTTGCAAGTAGTTGCATGGTGTCTTTGATGTTTGTTTTCCAAAAATAAGCTATTGTCTACAAAATTAATGTGTCTGTTTGTATTTTATAGATGGCTAAAATAATTACTAATAAACTACATTCATTCATTACCTGCTGCCTGAACAGACTTAAAGATTTGATAGGACACATATCGGGAAAACAAAAACAGCATAAGTATGAGGGGGATTCAGATTAAAACCATAAAAGTATGATAAAAATGACAATACCATGCCATCGTCTTGTAACCTGTCAATATTGTTGTTATGGATGTCAAGAGTGACATCATGGTGCATATCAACACAATAACATCATAATGACAGTTGAAATATGGCCGCCCCACTTTTGAGATGCACCAGAGAGGAGAATTATTCTATTATCTGTTATTTATTTTTAATTTTTTTAATCTCTGAAGGGGTGAAATTTGTAGAAATTCATCTGCAAATGTAAGTCTATATGCCCGTTAGTTCAGCAAGTGTATGAGCGAAGTAGGAAATTACAAACAGTGTGACTTTGTGGCAGATTGTTCACGACCAGGCTAAGCACCCTAATGATTGACCTCAAAGTCAGTTGCAGCCGCTGGAGGCCTCGTGCAGGAAAACTGCTGATTCACTGTGTGTGACAGTGTTCATACTGGAACTATTCACTGATACATGTCTATAGGTTTTACCGCTTTGCTGATAAAAAAAATTGAATAACAAAACATTCCTCCTCTTTATTACATCTCAAAAGTGGGGCGGCTATCTTTAAACTGTCATTGTGATGTCGTGTGCTTAACACTCTTGACATCCTTAACAACAGTATTGACAGGTTACAAGACCTGGTTATTGTAGATTCTGTCACACTTTTGAGGTTATCCTAATACATGATCCATTTAAATACACACATCACATTGTCTCCTCTTGTTACACAGTGGCTTAGGCATTGTGAACATGCTTCATAATTCAGGCCAACCCAATTCAATTCTAGCTGGAGTCAATTTGGCAGCTGATCGCTTTGTGTTGCTTTAGTATTATTGATAGCTGACTGTTCAGAAAGCAGTAGCAGACTGCTGAAGATAAATTGCCTGGTAAAATCACAGATGGCCTCAGTATGCTGTGGCTGGATCTGCAGCGTCCTGTAAAGTATACACAACTAGCTAACAGTGATACTGTACATCTCAGGGCTAGAAGTTTAAGACCCGCCACATGGATGCCATAGAAGTTTTACATTTACTGCTTGCTTTTCAATTGTAGTAATGCTGGATCAGTCTCAAAGTTCTACTGTTCTGGAAAATCCTCCATCTGTTGAGGACTGGCTCGGTCATAAACTCTAGGGTGACTCTGCCATAACTGCTGTAATGACTTGGCCACGACTGTTATGGTGACTCAGCCATAATCTCTATGGTGACTCAGTAATAACAGCTATTGTGACTCAACCATAATTGCAACAGTGACTCAGCCATAGCTGCTGTGATGACTCAGTCATAACTGCAACGGTATCTCAGCCATAACTGCTATGGTATCTCAGCCGTAACTGCTATGCTGACTCAAGCCATAACTGCTATGCTGACTTAAGCCATAACTGCTATGATGACTCAGCTGTAACTGCTATGATGACTCAGTCATAACTGCTATACAGCCATAACTGCTATTGATCTGCCTTTTTCATATTGTCTTTAATGTCTGGATTGCAGATATAAATAACAAGGAAAGGCTACAAAGGTGCAGTTTTTGCATAGAGTCACAAGAATGGCTAAAAACACATTCTCAAAGAGGCCTTGTCATGAAGATTTTTCACTATCAATATCAAGATTCATTCATCTGTTGGCCTTCTTCAGTTCAAATTTGCATTAAGGCCCTTTTTTTCCATAATATGCTTTGGCTCCCTTTTTGACCAGGCCTAAAATGGAGAACCAGGTAATGTCCTTGGTGGCTGGTACTGTGTTGACCACATCAAGTACCTGTTGTTGTATGAAGCTAGCATTTTATGCCTGATGTGCCTAAATTCTGAAAAAGAAAAGATTCTAACATTTATTTTGGTCACATTTTGAGATACGTCTAGAGAAAAGATTGAGAACTGGGGAGAAAAGAGTGGTAGAGACCGAGGAAGTCATGCTGAAGGGATTGACAATCTGATACACACGATGGTTAACTCAGAAGGCCAATTTTTCTGACATTTTCAGGTTTTTGATGATATGTATTTAGACGGTGCCCAATATACCTATATAACAGCTTTGGTACTGGTTGCTACTGCATAGTGTGTAGACGTGGTGAGTATTGTTATAGATGAGTTAAGTTTAGAGGGCCCCAATAATGCAGTCGATAGGAGACTCGCATTCAAATCCAGCTGCGACTCGTTGCAGCCTACGGTCGGTGTTTCGAAACTGAACGGTTCCAGGGGTTCACCCAGCCTCTAAGAAATGGGTACCAGAGTTGACACTCTGGGGTAAATGGAAGAACGTTGCTGTAGCTACGAAGTTACATGCGGACGGCAACACAGGCGGACAATTTCTTATCAGCTGTCCGTACTGGTGGCAGAGCACTTATGATTTATAACTGTGCAGTGACGCTGGTTCACATTTTCCGACTTGACTATACTTTTTTATAGTTGAGCCAACAAAAAAAAATTGTTAGGTAATGTTCTGTATATCTATTCTCTTTCTCTGTGTAATGCTTGGGGGGGGGGGGGGGGGGGGGAGGCAGTGGGTTTATGCTTGTTGGGGGGGGGGGCAGTGGGTTTATGCTTGTTGGGGGAGGCAGTGGGTTTATGCTTGTTGGGGGGGGGGGGGGGCAGTGGGTTTATGCTTGTTGGGGGGGGGGGGGCAGTGGGTTTATGCTTGTTGGGGGAGGCAGTGGGTTTATGCTTGTTGGGGGAGGCAGTGGGTTTATGCTTGTTGGGGGAGGCAGTGGGTTTATGCTTGTTGGGGGAGGCAGTGGGTTTATGCTTGTTGGGGGAGGCAGTGGGTTAATGCTTGTTGGGGAGGCAGTGGGTTTATGCTTGTTTGGGGGGGGGCAATGGGTTTATGCTTGTTGGGGGGGGGGCAGTGGGTTTATGCTTGTTGGGGGAGGCAGTGGGTTTATGCTTGTTGGGGGAGGCAGTGGGTTTATGCTTGTTGGGGGAGGCAGTGGGTTTATGCTTGTTGGGGGGGCAGTGGGTTTATGCTTGTTGGGGGAGGCAGTGGGTTTATGCTTGTTGGGGGGGGGGGCAGTGGGTTTATGCTTGTTGGGGGAGGCAGTGGGTTTATGCTTGTTGGGGGGGGGCAGTGGGTTTATGCTTGTTGGGGGGGGCAGTGGGTTTATATGTTGTTGGGGGGGGGCAGTGGGTTTATGCTTGTTGGGGGAGGCAGTGGGTTTATGCTTGTTGGGGGGGGGCAGTGGGTTTATGCTTGTTGGGGGAGGCAGTGGGTTTATGCTTGTTGGGGGAGGCAGTGGGTTTATGCTTGTTGGGGGAGGCTGTGGGTTTATGCTTGTTGGGGGAGGCAGTGGGTTTATGCTTGTTTTTCCCACATGTGGATGATCTACAGGAACTATATGTATCCTTACTCTTTGGCATCTTCTAAAGCAAATCGGGTATATCTGGGCATGACCTGAGTGTTACAGTGTTTAGGTATGGATATCAGTTTCTGAGAAACTTGTGAACATGATATGAATATAATGAACACAAAATAAAGGCATCAAGAATAGCTTTTACTCTTTCAGCCCCAAGGGTTTAGCATCCTAAAGAAAGAGATGAAAAATTGGCGCATCTTGCTTTCACTGGGCTTCTAGGCAGGAACAGATGAACATATGATGGGTTCTTTGGGACTGAAAGAGTTGAAAAAAATTAAGATCAACTTAAACAATACATTAGAAAGAGCACACAGAATACCACCACCCCCCCCCCCCCCCCCCCCAATTGTCGATGAAGTTACTGGAAGAACAGAAGAAGACAGAGATAGCAACTTGTAGCAGTTGTCTCCAGCAGTCTTTATGTCTCCAGATGTTCACAGAACGGTTTTTGAGCACGAGCCGGCCTTGTGGCTTATCTTTCACTCTGTCACCCCAAGAAGGTTAAATCTAGTCACTTCCGTTTGTGATACATCACCTTTTCTACAGTGACATCTTCTC